TACTAGCCTTGAGCAAAAAAGCTTAGAAATAGCACTCAGGACCTGAGTGCAAGGCCCAGAAGAGCCCCCTCCCTCCACCCCAACTCCCCCACCCTCTACCCCCCCCCCCGCAAAAAAAAAAAGAAAAGAAAGAAAAAAATAGGTGCCAGGAAGAAGAAGAATGGGAGCCCATTTTCTTCAAGCCCAAGCAGTGTCTCAGACTGCATCACTGGGCTTACATCTTTAAAATGTAAATTGAGCACTCTAATCAAAGCATTCCTAAAGTCTAGCATTGGCTTGTGTGTGCATAGACTTCAATAGGAATCTGTTTCCTCCAGGAAATTGGAAGTGGGGGGGGAGCAAAAGGTCATTTTCTTTAGGAAAAAATAGCATTAAAATGTATGATATGTTTAAAAATACATCCATACATGTAAAATAAACAGTGAGGATTATTTACAGGTTGAGGAGGTCATTAGTTTATTCAAGGAAATGTTACAAATGCAGTGATTTCCTTAGCTTACTCAGTTTTCCCACTTTCCCAACTGTTTTGATTGTTAATGCATTCTTGAAAGCACTATCAAGTTGTTGTTTTTTTTATGATATAGATAAATAGATATTCTTCCTCTTGCCCGGCCCCCACAACCTCCCAGAGTAATTGAGGCTCTGCTACCTCCCCAATATTGCCAGAACTGACAAGATTATCTAAGGACAGCAAAGGTCATAATTGTTATTTTGCCACCAATTTACTGTTTGGCCTTGGGTTAGATAAACTGGCTTTCTTACCAGGCACTGGTGGCTCAGGCCTGTAGTCAGTCCTAGCTACTCAGGAGGCTGAGATCTGAGGATTGAGATTCACAGCCAACTAGCCCAGGAAAGTCTGTGAGCCTCTTATCTCCAATTAACCAGCAAAATGCCACAAGTGGAGTTGTGACTCAAGTGGTAGATATAACACCAGCTTTGAGTGAAAAAGCTAAGGGACAGTGAATGCCAGGCTCTGAGTTCAAGCCCCAGTACAGACACACACACACACACACACACACACACACACACACACACACACACAAAATTAGATTTCTTTACCTTACTTTCGTCATTGTAACATAAATGGTAAAATACTAATCTCTTGATCTGCCTCCCTTCTAGAAGATTTCTTATGTACTACTTGTCTTCAATTGTAAATGATAAAAATTCAAATGCAAGAGGACCAGAGTGGAATTATTAATAATTTACTTTGTACAACAGTTAAGAAACCATGTGTGTTATAATACACATTTCATTCCGTCATTCAATATACCACAGGTAGAGAGGAAACTAAACTCAGAGAGGTCAATTTAATTTCTTAGACTTTGTAGTTAATAAGTAGAAGAGCCAGAAGTGTAAATTACTTTTTTTCCTGTACTTAAAATACTCTGGCCAGGCACTGGTGGCTCATACCTATATTCCTACCTACTCAGGAGGCTGAGATATGAGGATCTTGGGTCAAAACCAATCCAGGAAGGAAAGTCTGTAAGACTCATCTCCAATTAACTACCAGAAAACTGGAAGGGCACTGTGGCTCAAAGTGGTAGCTTTGAGCAGAAAAAGCTCAGGGACAGTGCCTAGGCCCTGAGTTCAAGCCCCACAATGAACATAATAATAATAATAATAATACTCTGATGTAAAGATGAGTCTTAGCTAAATCAACTGTAATCCTAGCACTTGGGAGGCTAAGGTTGGAGAATGGAGAGTAGCTAGGCCAGCTTGGGCTACATAGTAAGATCCTGTCTCAAACAAACAGGTCTTTTGAAAGCAGATTCTTTTTTTGTTGTTTGTTTTTGTTGGTTGTGGGGCTTGAACTCTGGGCTTGGGCGCTGTCCTTCAGTTCTGTAGCTCAAGGCAAGCGCTCTACCAATTGAGCCACAGTGCCACTTCTGGTTTTCTGGTAGTTTATTGGAGATAAGAGTCTCACAGACTTTCTTCCTTGGCTGGCTTTGAACCGTGATCCTCAGAGCTCAGCTTCCTGAGTAGCTAGGATTACAGGTATGAGCCACCAGCGCCCAGCTGAAAGCAGATTCTTTTCTAAACACTTCAAGGTCTTTATTCCCCTGCAGTAGGTCATTCTAAAAACAAAAAGCAATAATTTACACTATTGCATATTAAAGGTTAGAGGTCATAGTTCTGGACAGAACTGGACAGAGAATTGAGGACACATTCTCTGTACTGGAAGAGCCCTTGGAGTTCACAATTTATTCTCCAGCCTAGCATCAACTATAAAACAAAGTCTCATATTTCTTTCTTTAAAAAAAATTATATAGCTTCCACCTGTACAATTTATGTCAACCAGTATAAAGGGCAAAATCTATCCACTATCCTTTGTTTCAGCAAATCAGCCCTTTTATTTTTTCTACAACTTCTGCCAGCTCTTTTCTTCATACTTGATTTTTTTTTTTTTTAATGCTGAGATTACAGGTGTGTACCACTACATTAACAAATGGCTTCATTTTGAAATGTGGTAACAGAACCCCTGAAACCAAACCCTGAGAGAGGTTATGTTCAGAATCTTCAAATGTTCAGAATCTGGAGGCAGGCGGCCAAAATGATGTTTTATAAGGATTATTCCAGGTTTTATTTTCTGATTCTATGGCAGCTCCTGGTAAATATGTTTCCTTATAAGAATTGAGCAAGAAGTGGATATAATTATTTCATGAATATTAATAAAGACAAACTTTCGGATTAAGGGCTAGGAGAGGTAATAAGAATGCCTGTTTTCCTGGTTATTGGATGTGCCATGGGTTTTATAGTTTGTCTTGTCTTACGGTAACTAAAGCCACCGTAGCCATGGAAAATGACAGCAATTTGAATGAGATAATTTGAAATGGACCATAGCAATCAAGGTTATGTCCTCAATGTACAAGATCTTATATGTGTGGCCCAGCAGTTGTAGCAGGATAGTTCATGTTTCTTCCTTTCAAGTTGAAGGACAAATTGGCATGAAAATTAGTCATAATTTGAAGGCTTAGTATTTTTAACAATCCATTTTGATACAATGCTAAATAATTAGGTAGTATTACTGTGTGATTTTTTCTAAATGTATTATTTGAAGAGCATTTATATTTGTAGCAAAAGTAGGTACAGCAGTCCCTAAAACTTCTCATCAATTTCTAAAAATCCAACTTTCTATATAATACACGTGGACACCCCAAATTCCCAATCTTTTGTAATTGAGCAGTAGGTGGTTTAGTCCCAGTGATTTCTTCACATTTGCAAGTCTCCCGACACGACAGCTTTACCTGTCACCAGATCCTTTCTATCACTTGCTATAAAACATCACTTTGGATTTTTTTTTTTAAGTGAATAGACAATCCCATATAGTAAAACTGCACGTGTCTCGGCCCTGAATAGAAAGGTTAGAGGTATGACCTCTGCCCCTAGCAGGTGAGTTGTCGGGGGGGGGGGGGAGTAAATGTCAGCCCAAAGGCACCCCAGTTATGGGAGATTCTCCCCCCCCCTCTCGGTCTCAGTCTGTCTGTCTGTCTGTCTCTCTCTCTCTCTCACACACACACCTTTTAGAAGCATTCTCCAGTACAAAGTCCTGGTCACCAGATGACCATCCCTCTGCGTCCCCTCCCTTGGGTGACCCCCAATTCCACGTAGTTAGGATCGTGTCCCCTCCCCAGCCCCCGCTTCCTTTGGGGAGCCCTGAAACCCAGATCCTCAAACCACTGAAGGGAAAATTCTCACCCCGGGCCCGCTCCCGAGCGCAGGGGGAGGCGCGGGGCTGGGGGTGCGGGCGGGGGGACCGGGCTCTCCCCGGTCCTGCCGGCGGGGCCCCCCTCCCCAGGTGCGGCGGCGGAGGGGGAGGGCAGGTGGGGGCAGGGAGCGGGCCGCGTGGGGGAGGGGAGCGAGGAAGAGGAGGGAGGCGGAGGGGGAGGAGGAGGAGTGCGGAGCGTGTGTGGCTGGGGGAAGCCATTGCCTGTTTAATAGTTGCTGTTGCTGCACTTCCGCCTCTCTCTCCCAGTGAGAGAGAGAGAGGAGAGGGGAGAGAGAGAAAGAGAGACACGAGTGGCCAGGCCCAGCCGCAGCCGCAGCAGCAGCCGCCGCGGCGGCCC